CTGCCCTACCAGTAACCTGAACTCTGACCTGCTGGGACCACCCCCTCGCTCCTGCAACAGCTCACTCCACATTTCTACTGAGCAAACACAGCCAATTAGCTAAAATGCCAGAATATCTATGTGTGAAAATATATACGCACACTGTCAGGTCTCTGGGACTTTTTCTGCTGGACAGTAACCAAGACCACCAAATGTATCTGGCAGTCTGGAATCCACTGATGAAACCAAGTCACTTAGTACATGTACTTTGTCCTTGTGAACAAGTTACATTTTAAACTGGAGCAGCAGTTTAAAGAAGAAAAAAAATGAATAAAGAAAAAACCTTACACACAGCCTCTCCCCACTCCAAATCCCCAGCACCTTAAGTGAGGCGATCTCATCTCTAAATCTGATTAGACCGCAAGAAAATGCTGGGTGCCCCAAACTCATTTCTGCGTTCACTGCAAACTTCTGGGTGCTCAACACTTCTGAAAGTCAAGCCACTGATTCCGTGATTTAAACATGGATTTAAAACTGGAATTTCCTATATCATAAGTGATTAATCTCAAGCCTCGCTGATACATGCTCTTGAGGAACTCTGAAACGCCCACTCTGGAAGCCTGCTGTAAATTCTGGCTTTTAAGCATTTTTGTTTTATACATGTTACCTTAACCCTCAAGTTCACTGTCAAGATCAGCCTCACTGATTTCAGTACTGTAGCCCTCTGCAGAAAGTATCTGCTGTGGAGGAATGACCACCTTCATAGATAAGCCAGAGGAAGGGCACAATCCTCATTTCGCAGGTGGAGACTGAAGCATAGGGAGGAAAAGGAGGGGCAGGAAAGAGGGGAAAGATCTAAGTGATATGTTCAAGGCCACCCAGGAAGGCTGTTGCAGAGTGAGAAAATGAATCCACATTTTCTGCTCCACCCCCTTTCCTTCCTCCTACTGCACAAGGCCTCCACAGAGAGCCTCCTGAGAACTTATATGGGTCCCTGCTACTGTGTGTGGTAGCTACCAACAGGAGGCCTATGTCTTCAGCAGTGCAGAAGGGCAAAATTCAATTTCCAGCTCTTGCATTTGTCCAGCAGAGAAAGCAACAGCATATAAGCAAGCACCCACATCCTGCTCCCCCAATGTCAAAGCAGTGGCAAGGAAGGGGAAAGATGTGTTGATGCACAGAGGAGCAGCTAATGAACTTCCTGACGTTTGGACAAAGAGGCTAAGGTTCTGGACCATGACCACTCAGGACAATCGCTAATGGCCAAGATAGCCTTGTTCAAGGATGAGACGGTCAGTAACTGAACCCTCAGTAAAGACCACAGTACAAAAATAATCGGGAAGCATGGCAGATGAGCACTGGTAATCAGCATTGATCAGGTCATGTTAATGAAGTAGGGAAAAAAGGAGGCAGTCCAAAAAAGCTCTTTAAAAGACCAATTCTGCTAAATTTTAGAGACAGAAGAACAAGATCGGCCAACATGAAGACCATGGAACTAAGAGCCAGAAAATACAAGGTCTACGTCCAGCTATGCTGCTAGTTCACAGTGCTGCTCTCGAGTGAGTCACCCTCACCCTCCTCCTCCACCTGTTTCAGACTATAAATGCCTTGAGGCAGGGTCTGTGACAACACTTATCTTTATTTCATAGTGAACTGTGGACAGACACAACACCTGAGTTCAAACACTTACTATTTAGACAGAAAAACTTATATACAATTCTAAAAGCTTTTAAAGCCCATGACAACTTAGGCAGCTGGAGGTTCAGTTTATTGCCTAAGCCTTGCTTTTAAGTAGGCTAAATTCAGCCATGAGAACAAGCAGAACAGGACAGGGAAGAATCATTCAAGTACTGACGGTTCTCCGTTTCTTCAGTTCTTTCCAAATGACAGACAAGTTATCCCCCAAATGACAGGAGAAAAGCCCGAGCACAAGTTGTCGTTTGTCACATGCAGGCAGATGCGACCATGGAAAGCAAAAGCAAACAGGACCCTGCTCGCATTTGGCAAAACCAACCTGAGCATCCATCGTATAGACTCCCTGTACAGTGAAGACACCTTGTGGGTCTGCACAATAAAGCCCCAGCAACTGTAGCTTTTAGGAATTACTGTTATGAGATTTCAAAACCCACATCAAGCAAGTGCCCATAAAGGCTTTGGTCAATGCACGGGAGGGTGCACTAGTGAGTATCAGACGTTGTATCCCCGTTAGCATACGTGTTCAGAGAACCAATGCAATCTTCAAGCAAATCCACTAACTGTCCCTGCTTATAACATGTGAGCTTGCTTTACTGAACAGGCTTAGCGTGGTACACATGCCAAATGCCTTTTGCGGGGAACTAAAAGAAAAGCTCTCCTCCAGCTACACACCAAATATACCCCTGCCTCTCGTATGAAGATAAGGGTCTAAACCTGCTTTGGGTTCCTAGGACAGTTTTGGACCACATGCATGGGGATATATTCAGTCAAGAGGATGAGGCTAAATTCAGTGCAGATTTATATCCCCACCCAGCAACAAAGCAAGGATGCAAGGGGCTCAGCTTCTACTGCTTTGATCTACTGATACGATCCTACTGCACCAGATTATTAACAAAGCCAAAGCCAATTTCCTTGGAAATTACTGAGCATTAATTCCTCTGTTGATGTAAGCATTTTAATAATAAATAATTGTCACAAGCAAAAAGATAAAATAAAAAGAAACAAACTACAGAAGCACTTCCGGTGAAAAAAGCAACACATATAAGCTGAAAAATGTACCCACCATGTCACAGCACACAAGTCTTGTTGGCACTGCTATAGAAGTTTTTACCATGAAGGTGGCCTTGCAAGAATAACAGAATTCTCTCTATTGAAAAGTTCTACCACTGAAAGAAAAGTATGCTCTAAGTTGTCATGTTTCCCTTGAAAGACGTAAGACGTGTTTCCAATTTTTGTTACACTTTAGTTCTTCAAAAAACCAAAGAAAAATGTTAAGTCAGCAATTTGAAAACAAATGAAGTCGTTTGAATTAGATCAGGTGTCAGACTATCTGAATACTTGCTTTACTAACAACTCAACATTTCAAGTTTTTGTTTGGCTTTACAAACAAGTTAGCTTGTAAATAATGAATGTGCTAAGGAAGGAAGATTCTCCTTTAACTCTGGAGATGCTAATTCAGTACAGATGAAATATTACTACCTTAGAGAAGTGTGAACTGGTTCACAATCTGGCCATAGGCACACGGTTCCCCATATACCCTTCACTTAAAAGAATCAACGTAATTGATCTCAAAAATCGACATAAACATATCCCTTAACAAAACACCACAGCCAGCAATTCCTCAGTTGCTGCCATATTAATAAGTTAGTCCTTTACAAATTATTTAGGGCCTGATCTAAACCCCTGAAGATAATCAAAAGCAAAATTATGAACAATGCTGTGTTTCCATTGATGCCATAGTAATGAAGAAGCTAAGCACAGTGCTTTTAAAATAAATAAATAAATCTCACCATCAAACTCAAACCACACACTTTAGCCCAGGAGAAGGGAGGGGTTGGCATCCCATTGCCAGCAGCCCCTGATTTCACTGCGTATTGTAAATGCAGTCCTCAAAAAGTCTATTTCAAAACTCACTGGGTAGAGTGTATATATGTGGTAGAACATCACAGCACCCTTAAAGCTTTCAGTCCAAGATGTTCACAGGCTGTAACAAAAACTAAAAGTTTATTCCTCTACCCAAATAATGTTCTTTTAACCACTGGCAAACAGGAGACCGAGGATAGATTCACAGTGATTAGCCATTTTACTTTTTGGCTAGTTTGAAGAGATTCTAGGAGTGCCATATTAGTCAGTAAAATATAAATTCAGCTTTTATTTGGTGAAAAGGCAGAAAGAAAGTGACATACTTGCATAGATCTGGGAGGTAAGACAGACGCACAAATAATTCTAATGCTACCGAATGGAAACGAACTTCTCCATTTTTAGGCTGGATGGGAGTTCCAGCTCTATAAAGAAACATAAAAAAACAAAATTTGATCCAAGTTAATAACTGATGCAACGTTATACGGTTTTCTTCGGAAGGGGAAAGGGTTATTCCTCTTAGGTTCCATTAATCATCTTGGAAAGCCCAGACTAGAGGTGACGAGGAGCAAGAGGAATAACACTCAGCTATATGAAGCAGAACACCCAGCCAAGATCTGCTTGCTTACAGACAGATGGCAAATACAGCCAGCGCTCTGAAACTACAGCTGTGTGCCTGAGATCTCTCAGATCTATGTGTGTGATCATTAAGGATTTTCAAATTATCTAATAGAGCAGAGTCTCCTGGAGATTTGGGTTTCCAGACTTTTGTTTTCTTTACAAAGGATCACATTAAACTTACCCAGAACATAGGGAAAAGAAAACAGTTCTCAAGCTTTTCTATTAAAAAGCGTTATGCACACGCTAGCACTCTGGGCTTGATTTTCTCCTGCGAGTGCAGTTTCCACACACGCTCTGTATCAACAAGAACCGTTGGGAATACAGTCACGGTAGGAAGGCTGAAGAGCCATCAGTCTGTCCCCTCCCAGTCTGAACATCTCCTAGGTGTGTCACCTGTTCCCTTCTCAAACCACCACAGAGGATTGCCACAGAGTTCCTTGGTACCCAGAGGGTCAGCAGATGAGCACCCCCATGCCTGCACATTGGGCAAGCTCCATACATACATACATATATATATATATATTCCATGAGCACGTACTAGATCTGTGGCACATATGCATACAGCTAGCCAGATGTCTAGTTAGTCCTGTGCAAATATCATCACATAATGTATAAGTGCAGGTAGTGCACAAGGGCAACGCTCACGTGTAACAGCAACTACGTGCCAGGCAAGTTAGATTGTGTGAAAAAGCATTGACCTTGCACTTGTTCAGGGGTGGAGGGACTCTCTCTCTCACGCTGTTCCCTAAATCTCATTTATTCTTCTCCTAATACTATCGCGTCCCTCCCGCTCCCCTCAGCCTTATCTTAGGTGTCTGTCCTTCTCCCCATACAGATGGCTCATTCCAGGTCCTGTCAACAGTACCGCACGCTCTTTAGGCTAGAGCGATAGAAGTCACCCAGTGACGTGCCACAGGCCGGACATCTCCACATCTTCCCAACACACACAGGCTCCTCGGTCCCTAGGCGGGCTAGCAACGCCGTCGCTCGTCAACCAGGTCAGCCTAGACATGAGGGGCTGCGAGACATATGCCTCAGAGCTGTTATCGCAATGAAGCGGGCTATATAGACTATCACAGCAAGCCAGAACCTGACAGTACACCAGGCTAAGTGTGAACACTTGCTACTCAGGCTCAACAAATTTCTCTCAGTGAGAAATTTCTACTGAAAAATGCTTTATTCTTTTGGGGCAGAAGGTGTCAGTTTTGACAATGTTTAAAAATGAAAAAGCCCAAATGCTTTATTTCAATAGTGTCCTCCTCACTCACTGCTTTGATTCATTAAGTACTTTTAAATAAAGTTTGGCTTTGCCTTAGTCACACTAAACAAAGCAAAATGACTTTATATTAATAATAAGTTTCAGCACTCCTGAACCAATGTTTTACAGAAACTTGTTTGGCAAGAGTTTAAAAAAATGAAATATTGGTTTAGAAAGGGAATCATCATATTTTTTAAAGTGTCCATATTTCACGTGGAATGGAAATTCCATTTCCTGTCGAGCTCAATGCACTTCACTCATTTCTGGTTGTACACGTGGGTTTTCAGTTGTTTTCATTTTTTGCCAAAAGTGCATAAAATCATCACTAAGGCTGTTAGAGGCATGTTCCTATAATGGTTTGAGATCCTAATTCCTTTAGGAGATCAACCACCAAACATCTGCCTCAAAGCTTGTTCCTTACAAGAGGCTACAAACAAATGCAAATACGAAGGAAGGTTCTCCTGTTACGTGATTTGTGACTGTGATTAATTCTCTGAAGTCACAGGTATTCTGACTGTAGTTTTACAGGTAGAAGCAGATCTGAAAAACAGTACAAAAAAGTTTGGGGATTTATGTCAAAATATTTTGGATATCTGCAAGATTGCTTTGTCAGCCTGAAAAACATAGAAGGTTGTATTTTCACAGCATAATTACATTTAGCTGTGTGAATTCAATTATAATCCTGCCATCTTCTAGATGGACAACCAAATAAACCGAGATATGTACGTATACCTGACCAGAGACTAAAAAGGTGCCGAGTCAGTGAGTATCGCACAATGAAAGTCTCGGGCAATGCTTCAGAAAGCAGTCCCTAGGAAAAGGTGTGTTTACTTCACAGAAACAGAAATAGTAGGTTGCATTGCAAAGCAGCTTTCCTTTCTGGCTACGACTGATAAAACTCATATGCATGCAAATAGAGGGAAAAAAAAACAACAATCTTTGCTGAGCTGCATCAACCTGTCTATTTAGAAAGCTATGTCTCCAGATGCAGAGCAACACTTCATTAGATTGCTTTGTTCCAGAGAATTTCTTGGCCATGTAAACTCCAGACACCCTATCATAGCAGCTTGCAAAGTAAATCACTTGTGTGTAAAGTTTATGCAAATAAGAAAACCAAAACAATCCATCTCATTATTTTCCTCAACAAATTATGTCAAACAAATAAACAGAGATATCACTTATGTGCAGAGAACGCAGACTGATGCTAGTTTCACAGAGGAGTGACCAACTCCAGTAAATTAAATGCCCAGGGCCTCAGAGGCTCCATCTGGTCCTAATTTTCAATCAGCAGTAAAATGATATGTTTTTCACTTCCATTGTAGCTTGTTTTCATCTAGTTTAGTGTGACAGATCAGAGCTTGAAAAAAAGGACATCTTGGAACACAAAAAAACAACTAAAAAAAAGAAAGAAAAATGCACGATAGCCAGTCTAGCGGCACCACTACTGCAGCTGAGCTTCTGCACTCCTGGCTTACTGCAGAATTTCTCTTCTTTAGGCCAGTAGAAGTTGGGAGCAAAGGGAGGTATACAGCATGGTCTCAGTATAGGCGGAAAGTACCTGACTATGCTGTTTTCCACAGGAAAGGGGGTGAAAGTAGCCACCTGAACAACTGGACTCTCCTGCATGGCATTTTGGCCCCTCTGAGGTAAGCGTAACTGTTAAGAAACCTTGCTGTTCATACATCCACTGCAAAACACACTACCCATCAAGCAGAAGACAAGAGAGACTCACAGCAGTCATCATCACCACTGAGCCTTCTCTCTCAACCTCTGCACATCATCCCCACCTTCTCTAGTACATGAGGTCTACAGGAATCAACACACCAAGAGCTAGCAGAGGTTAGTCCACAACAGCAGTTAACATATAATTGCTATACCTCTAATGCCACATACGACATGAATCGTGGTAATTCGCATAAGGCCAGGTCTTCTCATATAACCAAGAATGACAAGCCTTAGCCAACATCCCAGACAGAACATGAGGTGATGGTACGGCTATACACACTCAAAACACAGCTGCAGCCCATGCTGAATGCTGCAGAACAGAGCTTGATGTCAACTGTGAAACTTTCCCAAGAAGGAAGATAAATATGTGGTGATCAGGCCGTGCTGAGCTCCACACTGCTTCAGGAATATTGCCATTGGTACCAGGAGATAAAGTTATACAGTCACAGCATGTTTCACTGCAGCAGAGAAGTATTGCAAGGATCAATTTGTTATCCATAAAATGAAACCACAGTTTTACTGGTTTCATCCAGCTCATTTTAGAGCATTTCTAAAGATTAATTCTGAAGATGTTTCTGTACTGTATCTCTGTGCAATAGCCAGGCATGAGGACACTCATTTGGAAAATGGTGTACCAATGTTTCCCGAGAGATGTAACCAGTCTCTCCTGAACACTCGATTAATGTTTGATCTTCATTTAAATATATGTGCACATGGTTTAGGTACACATATTTCATATAAAAGATTCTGCTAAATTAAACAAACACCTTTCTCCTGCTTTTCCACCTCCTCATTGAAATAGAAGACTAACATCACACCCTCTGGTAAGAAAATAAATAATAAGCAGTGAGCAGCTTGCAGTCCCTCAGTCTGACAGATTCCCTGGATTGGGCTGCCCAGCCTCAGCACCCTCATTGCAACTCTGCATTGCAATCCCATTTCTTGCTTTAAATACTGCTGCTAAAAGGTCTCTCACTGTCCCTCCACTTCTTCCTAGCTTTCATTCTTCGCTTGCAGGATCACACCTTCACCACCCACTCAAGCTCCTACAGGAAGATTCTTGGCTTTTCTGATCCAAGGAACAGTGATTTCAGCCTAAAACAGCAGAGAATCTGGCCTCTCCCTCAATGCTCTATATCCGTGCAGATTTCCTGAGCCCATGTGTGTGTCCCTCCCTCTCGAAATTCTAGCTCAGGACACAGGTTTTCCTCAGCCACTGTAGATCTGACCCTGCACACATTCAAGTTAATGGTGCAGTTTGCAACTAAATTGCAGTTTTCAAGAGTCACATCTTGGTTTATTTTTTCCAGGTACCTTTACACTCATCAGCAGGATATGATGAACAAGACAAGCTGCACCAGAAGATGCTGGCACAATCATCCTTTCTTGTAAGTATCTGTTAACAGGGCATAGAAAGCCTGAAAAGAAAATAAAGCTCTAGTAAGTGGCCCTATAAAAGTCTTTGCACTGAATCCATAAGGATCTTCACATTTTAAGACAACTCTCTCCTCAAAAGGTATTTCCTTACCTTTATCTATCTGTACAGGGATTTTCAAAGGGACAACTCAATTTTAAAGGGAGCTGGCATTCACCAAGGTCCCTTTGAAGGGGTCAGCAGTTGCTACAGGCTCACCTAATCCTGTTTTGTCTCAGCTCAACTGCTGAGAACATACTGCTCATTTTAATAGTGGTTAATGAGACGAATAACAACAGCGGTTACATCCCTGCTTCCGCATGTAGAAGGGAAGAAAAAAAATAATAATAATCAGAGCAGGATTACTTGAATTCCCCAAGAATTCACAACATAAAGCTCAAAGTAAGAAAGGGTTGCCTTATCTTCTGCAACGCTATGCATCAGCCATTTATAAATACTTGCCTTAGTTCTTTCTAGGGATGCCCACCCCACATGCTGGCAGGCAAATTTCCTTTAAGGTGCTAGCTTTTGTCTTTTAAAAAGGAATTTACAAAGAATAGCTTCATTTATATCATATTCTTCCTCTCTAACATGCAATCAGATGGGTGAAAAAGACAGGGGGTGGGGAAGAATTCCACAACATAATCATTTGGCAGCTTATATTATTTTCTTTCAGAGGGCACTACAATACACTTCTCTCACTTGGGGAACTTCAAGAGAAGATAATTATTCTTGTCTGCCTTGTAATATATATTAGAAAAGTTCAAATGTGGCTTTCCAGGGAATTTTGCCAAATATTTTTAGGCACCAGACCCAGCTTTACTTAATTTTATATTGCCTTCTTAGTCTATTATAAGACTAAGACCTTCCATACAGTTTGAATTTAGCAGAAAGGCTGAAACATACTCGCTTATATTGGAAACATAAAAACGCTTCTTTCCTTGAAATAGAGATCTTTAACTCCTAATGTGACAGCCATTCAGATGTACAGTAATTAAAGCATCTCTACAGAGCTTAAAGTACATCAGTGAGCTTCTACTGCCACAACAAGCAGAAATTTTTTTTAAAGACAGCACATGCCAAGAATAGAAGGTAGCTCTAAATGTTCATGTTTTATGACCACTTTATAAGCAGTATAACAGTAGCACTTTGAGACTCTAAAGACAACTAGAGCCCTGCTGTGTGAAGTATTATAAAAGCTTCAAAAACACAGATACCTTTAAGTGCTGTATTCAACTAGAGTAAAGTATGAGATTACACTATAGCAGCAGACCATCCCTGGCACACAAAACAAACAAAAACCTACAGTAGTAGCTGAGGTAGAAAATCATCTCGTGTTATTAGCAATAATAATTATTACAAAGGATAAGATAAAACAGAGGCAGCAGGCAAACCAAGGTAGACAGCCTGCCCCAAAGAGTTTACAGTCTAAACAAGCAAGACCACTGGAGTTGGACAAAAAACACACAGACAGAGCTTACTATACCAAAGTAGAATACATATAGTTGCAAGGAGATAAGCTAAACAGCAGAAAGGGAGGGAGAGACAGGTGTGCAGTTAATTTGTCCACCAGTGGACAAAAGTAGGAAAGAGAAGGGCACGGAGATTTGCTCCAAGATCACGCAGCGATGAGGAGAAGCCCGACAACCAGATCCCCACTTAGCACTCCACCCAGTAACTTCTGGTGTTTCCCTTAAAGAAGAGTCCAACACACTGATGAGAAGTATGAGGCTGAACTTCAGAAGAGTCAGATATAATTTACACAGCAAGAGCAAGATCAGGATAAAGCCCACAATATTCCCAGCAGTATGTTTCCTGGATATTTCATGGGCTTCCAACCCCCCCCCCTTTAAAATCAGTATCAGAAGCTGTAGGTAATTAGCACAAAAGTCCATGTGAAATGTTGTATTTGTGTAAGTGTTTATTTTGGCTTCCTAAAATGGGCTGGAATCCAGCTCTTGTGCTCAGCCCCACCTTAGTTATATTTGTCCTGTTATGTGCAACAAACTTGGAGCCACGTTTAAATATGAAACACTGTGAGACTATATTAATACTATCTCTTTATCATTAATACACCCATTAACTCCCTTCACAATTGATCTGCAAGTTGATTGGTTGACAGAGCTTGTTTTAAAGGGTAACTTTCACAGAGCAGCAACATTGTTTTACTTTTCTTAGCTTTCCCTGATAATCAAAAGGAAGCCAGCCCAGACTGCATGTTGAAAGCTGAAACAGCTGAGTGGACTCCTCCTACCTCCTCTCTTGTGTTTTCATCTTTTATGGTGGCAGGCTATTCTGTGCCAGACAAACTAAGATTTCTTATATGCTTCAGTCACTTGGCTGTTCTTTCCCATAGATATTCCAAGAGCAGATTAACGTCAAGGCTTGCTGAGCCAAACACATGAAACTCTCTGAAAACTTCAGCCGAGGGATAGTTGCTTTTGCTGTTAAACCAGGAGATTGCAAACTGAACTGGTCTCGCGTGTGCGGGAGTCGGGAGCAGCTCTCACCGGAGCCGCGTTAACGCGGGTGTACAGGAGGTCAAAAGCAGGTCCCTTAAATAGTGTCTGAAGAAATGCAGTTGCATAGGGAAGTGAAGTGTTCCCTCTTTAGAGCGCAGCTGCATATGCCACCCTCATAACTTAATAGCACCCAGCTTAACAGATATGAGTAAACAGACTGCTCTGCTCCCCGTGGAGCCAAAGGAGGGAGACACTGCCTCCGCCAGGGGCCAGCGCACCCAGGGACCCAGCACAAGGCAGCTCCCTACAAGAATCCTAAGCCAGTGAAAAGCCTACGGCACCCTTTTTTAGGGCATTTGCGTTGCTGAGGCGAGAATTAGAAGTACTGCACCTAGCGAATGCATTCGGGCAGGCCTTCAAGATGTACAAAGCCTCACATCCCTTAGGACAGGGTCAGCTTAGGGCACAAGGGCCCAGGCAGGCACCACCGCCTTGGACAGTGGCCCCAAGCCCGTCCAAGGGGTCACAGCAGTTCAGGGAATGTTCCCGCTCCCACCAGCCCCAAAATCCGCAGGAGCTACTGCCTCTCACAGAAGCCAGGTGTTAGCACTTCCATGCGGCTGGGAACAGCGGCAGCACCTATTGAGTTTCTACCCTCCTGTTTAACCTCCAGCAGTGGAAGAAAATACATTTTCATAGTCCCCCTCTCAAAGCAATGCTAATATCTTCCTTAAATACCTCAGCAAGTCTTTCACAGACACAAACGAAAGGATGGAGGGAAATCTTCCCTCCTCACGATATCTGAGGAGGGATGACACAACGAGAGAATAAAAAGAAGCAAGGTCGGGCAAATTAAATAAACATAGCAGGGCAGCATGCTCTTCCAAACGCAGTGCCTTTCCTAAGGCACATAGGAATTAAGCACCCCTTCCTACCACTTGTGTCCTTTTGTGACAAGACCCCAATAGCTCCTCTAACAAGAGCAAAAAGCTTGTTAGCAGCTAGGTTAAGTGTTTACCCAAAGTCATCTTGTGTACAGCACTAGCACAATTCTCCAGTAATCCTTCTTCGATCTACCCATATGTAGAGCCTTTGCTGATCTGGTTGTGATGCTCACAAGGCCTTTCTCAGGAGAATACGGATACCTTTAGGACATCAGGAACGGCAGGAGCTCCAGGAGGCCAGCCCAAGCCCAGCACCCAAGCTGCAAGCAAGCAGGCTTTGAAGAACAGCACAGAAGAGCAACTTTTTGCAGTTAGAGACCAAGCTGTTCTCAGCCTGCTTATTACCACTGCTCCAAACCTACCCTTTGCAACTCAGCCCTCCAGCCAGCATATAGTCCTGCAACTCCTAGGTATCAACCTAAGCATAAGCTGCACAAGAAAAAACAAAGTAATCCACTCTCAGCAACTAGGGCACAACATAGAGTTTACAATTTCTCTCCTCCTCAGGTCAGTGGAACTGCAAGAAATCCTTCATCTGCCCCAGCCTCAGGAAGCATAGACCTCATTGATATAATCTTCGGACAATGCAGTTCTTTAACAGAAAACCAATCCACAAGGTTACTAACCTAGAACACGCTTCTTTTCTGCACAAACTTCATCCCAAAGCATAAGCCAAACCTTCTCTTGGAGGAGCAGTTCAGAGGGCACTTTCCAAGGAGAGGAAAGCTAGCCCCCCCTCCAGGTGTGCCTATTTACACTGTGAGCTGCCAGGTGCTGCCACTCTGCACTGATTGAGCCGTTCTGCCCTCCCCAGCAGCTCCTGACAACTCTTGGTTTGCCAGTTTAGGGTTTAATTCAGCTCAGGGTATCTCTTGAAGATGGTGAACCAAAACTCCACAGGTTGAGAAGTTCACAGGTGTTCAAGCTATGCCTGCCTGTAAATCTAGATTGCCCCTCAGATTCCACATAATTAACACTCCTTGCCATCTACAGCTGCTATGGTGACAAAAACTGGTAGATTTGGTGCTGCATGTAGATACAAATTATTTGTGTGATCAGGCAGGGAAAAGAGAATCTCTGAGCTGATACAGCTCAAACTATGAAACACTTTGCTTGACTAGGTCTGTAATCAGCTCACAAAACATATGAAACAGTAGAATTTACACATGCATTTCTCTGTAATTGTACATGCAGTATGCAAGAAAAATCAAAGGTTGACAGCAGTTTACTGCCCAAAAAGTGTGGAAACCATGGCCCCAAACAGTACAGCTTATGTTCTTCATCTATCAGCAGCTTATGTTTCTTAAAAAAATATTCAAAAATTTAAATCCTAAACTACAAACTTCTCAGAAGACATTCTTAAAGAGCTAGAGGAGAATTGGATATCAATGTTTTGCAGTTTAAAGTGCTGGCACTTTATAAAGAGAAGCCTTTTGTTAGAGACAGGAAGTTTAGTTTATTGCCCGGTGTATACAGTTTGCCTACCGCATTATTTTGGGCTATTTTCATTCCTCACAGAGTAAAGAGGAAATTCTAAGAACATTTCACTGCTTCTCTTT